ATCCTAGATGTATCAGAGATGGAATTTTAACCAATCCTTCTTGCCTTCAGGACCGGTTCTCTATACAGGCAGGCAGCAAGAGGGAAGAGAGTTACCATTGTTATTTGCAAAATGTCCTAAGAACTCAAAGAGGTCCCCTGGCATTTTGGGTGGTCTTCCTCTTTTGAACTCTTGGGGGACATGGACAAGAATCACACGGAGTGGACAGGCAAGGATGGCTTGTGATCTACATCTTTGGTGGGAATAACCATATTGGAGGGAACACAAATTGATTGAACTATTTGAATGCTTCCCTTCCAGGGAGAATGATCTTTGAATTGGAAAAAGAAGAACAAAAATGACTTAACGAAGTGCTGATAAATAAGAATGAAGGTAAAATGAATCTGTGATCTCACTGCAGTGGTTCGGTATAAATTGTGAAGAGTCGAATTTAAGTTTGTTGGAAGGCAAAACTTGTAACTCATTCAAGTCACCTAATGACTGATTGAGTAAACTTAGGAGGTCATGGATTTCCCGTTCTTGGAGGTCTTCATGCAAAGGCTGGATGATCAGTCACCTGGGATGCTGTCAAGGAGATCCTTTTTCTACTATGGAAGGAACTAGATGGCCTGGGATGTCCCTTCAGACTTTGAGGTTCTGTGATTCTGTGATAGTGACCAGACTCAGCCTATTAACTTTCACAAACATTTATCTCCAAGTTAAAATCAGGAGGGTAATTAGTGTCTATTGTCCTTATTGTTTTCATCCTGCTGTTCTCTAGTTTCTGCAGAGAGAAGTCCAGGAGCCAAAGATGACCAAAGAAATGATCATTGCAACCAGTATTAAAGACTTTAGGCATCCTGTTTGAATGATTATTATCCACAAAATCAGACTCTCCTTCAGACAAATGTAATTATTTAAGGAGATGCTATCATCCGGCAGATCCAGGGTACATCCAGCTATGTCATTAGGATACATCCATGCTTAGGGCCCCTGTGGTCATGAATAGGGATTTCTTCTTTCTTATTTTTCCCCCTTCATGGTAATTGTGCCCTTATAGAATGAAAATGAGCAGGGATGTGTTTTGGAAGAGTTTTATTGGGTCTGCCTCTCCCCTTTGGATGTCACTGGGATGGGACTGGGAAACAGCCCATTCTGGCTTTTATATCACTGTCTCCATGTTATCAAGGTACTTTCTGCCCATTTAGGTATCTGTGTACCATCATGTTCCTGCACATCCTAGGTAGAATGTTAAGAAAAATAAAAAGGTATGAATAATGAGGTTTAAGGTGGTCAGGTAGTATTGACCTGTGGAAGAATTCTACAATACCCTGGTAATCAGTAGCACTTCTAGAGGGGTGACAAGATGAGGCAATACGTCTGTGAGCGAGAGGCAGCATAACATGATAGAAAGAGAATTCTGTTAGATACTTAGGACTCTGGAGGACTGAGAGGGAAAGACAGATTTAGATATTCTTCCTTGCATGGGAAGATTTCTCCCCCCCCCCCCAAACCAAACATTATCAAGGAGGCTTGGAAGGGTAGGGAATGACCATACTTCTATCTGGGAATATTTAGGAGTTTAAACAAATAGCCAAAACACTGCTAGTATAGTGTGATTTTTTAAGTGGCTTGAGGCTTTCTTGAGTGATGTGTCAGGAAGCAGGAGCAGCAGCATCAATAGTGAGAGTGAGTCCATGGTTTAGGTCACAGGGCTGGGGAACCTGAGGCCTCCAGCTCTGGTTAAGATATAAGTTCGCTGAGAATATGGACTGGTTCCTTCTTTGGATTCCTACTGTCAGTACCCAACACAAAGCCTGGCATGTAGTAAGCTCTTAATAAATGCTTGTTTTGATTAATTGTATTTGATATGAAAGTAGAGGGTCAACAGAAGGACAGGAATCAGTTACAATGGTGGGAGTTTTGTAGACGGCTTGCCAGGAGAATGTAAGAGTAGATGGGTGGAAAGATTGCATCTGGGGACCCTCAGGGCTAGAATTTAATGAGCAGCTCCTTTCCTTACATGAACTTTTAGAAACTGTTTCCGTCATGAATTCTGTTTGGTGTGTCTCTTTTTTTGTTGCCTTCCATTGGGTGTTGTGGTATTCATGTGTTCTACTGTTGATACCAACTAGATGTTGATTTAATCTTTTAATTAGGAATTAGCTCAGGAAGACATGGGTTCAAGTGCAGGCTCAGACACTTGAGAGGCATGTAATTCTGGAAAAGTGACTCCATCTCCATTTGTCTCAGGTCCTCATTTATAAAATGGGGATAATGATAACAGCTACCTCTCAGGGTTATTGTGAAAAGGTAACTCTAAAGTGCTTAACAAAGTCCCTGGCACATAATAAATACTATATAAATGTTAGCTATTATTATTATCATTATTATTAATTAGGAATTAACTTGGGAAGATCTGAGTTCAAATCCAGCCTCAGACACTTACTAGTTTTATGACCCTGGGCAAGTCACTTAACCTCTGTCTGCCTCAGTTTTCTCATTGCTGAAATGGGGAAAATAATACCACTTACCTTCCAGGGTTGTTGTGAGAACCAAATAAGATAATATTAGTAAAGCACTTAGCATATTCTCTGGCACATAGTGGGTAGTATATAAATGCTATTGTTGTTCAGTTGTTTTAGTCACGTCTGACTCTTTGTGATCTCATTTGGGCTTTTCTTGGCAAAGATACTGGAGTGGTTTGCCATTTCCTTCTCTAGCTCATTTTACAGACGCGAAACTAAGGCAAACAGGGTGAAGTGACTTGTTCAGGTTCACACAGCTAGTAAGTGTCTGAGGCAGGATTTGAACTCAGGAAAATGAGTTTTCCTGACTTCAGGCCTGGTGCTCTATCCACTGTGCGACCTAGCTGCCCTCATATAAATGCTAGCTATTATTATTATTATTGACTTTCCCCAGGTCCTGGATGTCTTTCTCAATTCACTTCTGCCATGGTGGTGCTTAGCATCTCTAGGAGCATTACTTGATAGTGCTTCCTTTCTTCCTATAGTTTTTTTACCTTGGCATTGGCCATCACATTTTATACTCAAGCTCCAGGAATGTTTTTACATTTTTTTCTCCAATATTTTGCGAGAACATATTCATTCATGATAGTTCTATTAAATTCCAGCTTTTTGCCCTGTCCACATCTCCTAAGGTCTTCCAGGCCTAACCATTTGCCCTGTCTCTACACATTCCAGACTCTCAGAACTACCATTGGACCTCCTTATATAACTCGAGAGGCCCTCCGCTCACAGCCACTCTGCTGCTACAACCTTTGGGCCTTTCAGTGCTTCTGCAACTAACTTTCTGTAGTTACTGACAGGCAGATGTATATATTCTGTAGGTTTAATCATATATACATATATACATTACATACATACACACACAAATACATATACACACATATAAGAGAGGTGTGGAGAGATAGACAGAGAGAGAGAGAGAGAGACAGAGAGAGAGAGAATGAGAGAGCACATAATAGGAGAGTACTGACAAGAGAGGAGAGGAGAGGAGTTGATGGCATTGACAATAGTAGAAATGGGGGACCAGATTTGAATGTGCACTTTTTTTTTTTACCAGCTGGATGCATTTTGGCAGGTAAGATTGTATAGAAAGTGGGATGCATGAGGAATGGGAATGAATCTATTTGCCTGGCTACTTTAATTCATCTTCCTAACCATGAAGAAAAAGGAGTTTTGCAATCTATTTTTGAACTTTCAGCTTCATATGATTTTAGATGACTTTTTCGAAAAAGCCTTTAGAAAGCTCAGCAGATTGGATAACCTGCTATGATGTCATACCCTGTTAGTAAAACCCAGGAGAGGCTGGGAAATATACCTAAGGAATTGAATGCTGTTTTAAAATATCCAATTCTTCTCTTTATTCCATTTGGTTCCAGGACTAAGTCACCTCAGCTCTTACCCCCTGTGAATTTCAGCAACATTCTGCTCCTTTGTGGACATCTGAAGTTGTTCAGACTTTGCCCTCATGTTTTTATAATGCCGCCAGGGCTTTCTATAATCACCTCACAGTGTACTGCCTGTTTTATTTTATAGTTTAATTTACACATTTTTAAACTTGGCCCTCCCCTGGCCCTTTCAGCTCTCCACACTCAGATGTCTGTAAACAGTGAGAAAAATTCCATTATGCTTATTTCTCAGGGCAGAAGGACAATTTCTGTAGTCTCAAGAGCATGTTTCATGAATTTCCTCAATGGAGGTTTTTCCATTTCCACAGTGTGTCTATTAGTAATTCTGCAGTTGGGTGAAAATAGTGTTTCCTGCCTTATCAGGTAAATTTAATTTGCATATTTCCATTATTTTCCTATTAACAGGTACTGTTCTGTAACAATGGAATGATATAAAATACAGGCACACAGGCAGTGAGGCATCAAGCTCTCGGGGCCACTTCCAGAGATTATATCCCTGTAATGAAGAAGCAAGAGGAGAGGGGGTAACAATAGGTTTTTTTTTTTTTAAGCAATTCAGGGATGAAATCAGGATTTGATCTGATGCAACATGACTTGCTAGCAGCCCAAATAGACTATCAAATGATCCATATGAAATTCAAGCCTTAGTATAATCCTCCAATTATGTCCATTGTTCTTTCTCAAGCCTGAATGCCATGCATAATAGTATGCAAATTGGAATTTAGTTAACAGGCTTTTCTCTCAGTCTATTCACTTTAATTATGACCTCCATTTTCTTGTTTAATTTGTGTGTGAGACATCCTGGTGTACTTAGAAATATGACAGTTATGAAAGAAAAATGAAGGTAAGTCTGGCATCTAGATTATACACACTTTGAACCAGTTATCTTAGCTAAAAAACGGGCTTCATTTTGGCTTAGTTATCTCTTCTACCTCTGTGATCTCTAGCTTCTGAGCAAACTCATTTCCATGTATTTTAAAAACCAATTTTGAATCCTTCATGCTGTTACGATATATACCATTATTTTTATAAAGGAGATAACAACTAAGATACTATGTAAATAAAAAATATAATCAAATCAAATCAATTAAGAAATGAAAGAATGCTTTTTAGTTCCCATGGTGTATAACCCTTGAGATATTGGCGATGATGATGATGAAGATGATGATGATGACCGTCACTTAAATTGTCCCTCAAGGTCTGCAGAATACTTTTCATACATTATCTCATTTGTTCACAACACTGTGAGGGAGGAGTTACCATTACTCATTCCATTTCAGGCTGGTCTTCTTTGTCTGGCCTCCTTCTGCCTTCAGAGAAAGGGGAGAAATGACATTTCATCAGCTTCCCTTACTGATCCCCTTTCCAACTTGATTATTACTTCCTGAAGAGGTCTCTACTGTGAGGTCAAACCCCTAGGGATTTTAATAATCTACCTTAATTTTCCTCAGTGATGAACAAACTCCCACCCTGGTCATAACTTCCCTATCCCAGTGATTCTGAACTCCCACTATTATCATTCAAATCCTATTTTCCATCACCCAATGGCTAATCCCTTACTCCCATTCACCTCACTCAACCTCCCCCCTCCTCCACCAATGTCTCTTACTAAAAGCTACCTACCCTTTCCATTGTTTTCTAGGATGCCTGTTCCACAGGTCACAAACTTGTTTTCATCTTAAATCTTTTACTTTCTCACTCCTTCCATCTTTTGGTTCTCAGCTCTAGCTCCCTCCCGATGACAGACACTTTATGGACTCCCTTTTCTAGTACTGGGTGCACTTTCACTCAATCCCCTGACTCACTGGTCTGCATGGGGGAGTTGGAATACTCCTTTTTTCTCATTGGCACTTCCAGATGTTCCCTCTACCACCATCATTCAGGAACTTCTTCTAGGCTTATTCAATCCATATGTATGACCCAATGAAAATTATAGTAATTGCTGTTATTGATCTTCAGAATACTCCTCTTCTTTCGTCAGTGATTTCGGTCTGGCTCAGAGTCTCATTCTCTCCTCCACACCTCCTTCTCTCACACTAGGAGACTTCAACCTATTCAATGACATTCCCTCAAACACCCTAACTTCCCAGTTCCTCAGTTTACTAATTTCGCATGACCTACCCCTCTACCTTACCTCAGTTACACTTATAGTAATACCCTTGGTTTTGCCATCAACCATGAATCCACCACTTCCATGTTCATGAACTCTGAAATCTACTAATTTGATAACAATCTGTCACCATTATACCTCTCCCTCTGCCTTGCACCCCTTAATCCTGTTCTTTATCCTTACTATGATCTTCAGTCCCTTAAGCCCTCAGTTCTTTTCTATGCTATCATTTCTGCACTATTTACATTCTTCCCCTTTCCCCATCTTGACTACTTGATGAACCAGTTCACCTATAGGATGGATGTCTTCTTCTCTCTATTCCCTAGTCTACTCTCTTATCCTATTGGTAATCTTGCTCTGCCAAGCCTCAGTCTGAGATTTATCCCCTGCCTTCCCTCTAACTCATGTGCTGCTGAACAAAGCTTGAGAAAATCATGATATTGTGATGACTGGGTCCACTACAAAACTAAATTACATAATTTCATCTAAGCCCTCATTGTAGTAAGCCAACTCTTTTGTATCTCTTTAATTGATTTGCTATCCCATTCACCACAGCAGCTTTTCCAAATCTATTCATCCCTCCTCAATCTTCCCATGACTTCCCCTCACTCCACCCTCTCAGCTAAGAACCTTGCCTTAAATTTCACTGAAAAAAATGAGATCATTTGCAGGGAGTTCTCTCTCCCCTCCTCTTGATCTCACATTCTTTAGATGCCTTTTACCACTATTACTTCCTTTACCCCTATCTTACATGAAGAAATGGCTCTTCTTGCCAAGACAAACCCCTCTATCTATACTAGTCATCCCATTCATTCTCTCTTTTCCAACAGATTGCCTCCTATTGCTTCTACTCTCTCACTTAGCTTCATTTTCTACCTGTCTACCAGCTGACTATTTATTGCCTACAAACATGTGCATATCTCTCCCATCCCCAAAATACCCTCACTTAATTCCCATTATATGTTGTCACATATGTTTCCTTCATTTTGTGGCTAATCTCCTTGAGAAAGCCATCTATAATTGATGGCTCCAAAACTTATCATTCAACCAAAACTGTTTCCTTCAAAGTTAACAATGATTAATTGACAAATCTAATGACCTTTCCTCCATTGTTGTCTTTCCTGTTGTCTCTGCAGCCTTGGACACTTTTGATAATTTTTCCTCCTGGACACTCTCTTTTCTCTGAATTTTCATGGTGCTGCTCTCCTCTTGTTCTCCTCCTACCCATCTTCTGTTTCTCCGTGTCTTTTGTAGGATCTTCATATAGGTCACTCAATAATAACGAAGAATGTTCCCCTAAGGCTTTGTCTTGGGCCCTCTTCTATTTTTTCCATACTATTTTGTCTGGTGATCTCATCAACCCCTATGCATTCAACCACCATCCCTATGCTGATGATTCTCAAATTTGCTTGTTCAAGGTTTGCTAACCTCTCTCCTAACATCCAGACTTACATATCTAACTGTTCATTAAACCTTTTGTACTAGATGTTCCATAAATATCTTAAATTCAACATCTCCAAAACTCAACTCATCTTTCCCTCCAACACTCCTCCTTCTAAACTTATCCATTACTGTCCAAGATACCTCTATCTTGCAAGTCACATAGGCTCATAATCTAGGTGTCATCCTCAACATTCTCACTTTCTTTCACCTCCCTCCATATCTAATCTGTTGCCAAATATTATTAATTTTACCTTCTTAACATCTTCCATTTTAGCTTCTTTCTCTCCTTTGCCACTGCCACCACCTTGATACAGACCCTCATTACCTCATGCCTGGGTTATTGCAATGGCCTACTGCTAAAGCTCAGGTTTGACCATATCACTTCCTTTCAATAAATTCCACTGGCTCCCTATCACCTTCTGATTAAACATAAAATTCTATGTTTGGTGAACAAAGTCTTTCATAACCTGGCCCCCTCCTATCTTTCTGTATCTCCTTATTCCTTATTTATTACCATGCATTCTGTGATCTAGTGATACTGGTTGTTGAACAAGATACTGTAACTCCTGATTCCAGGTATTTTCACTGACTGCCTCTGTTCCTCCATGCCTGCAATTCTCTCTTTTTCTATGCTTCTTTCAAATCCTGACAAAATGCTACCTTTTCCAAGAAGCCTTTCCCAGTCCTCTTTAATTACATCTGCTCTGTAACTCATACCCCCTCAGTAGTCCCTGCCCCTGGGGCCCTTCCCTTTCTTCCTCTGATTGGAGACAACAAAAGGTAGACACCAGAGAGGAGGGTGTCCAGAGCAGCCACCTCATAATTTCCCATCCAACCAGCCTCAATTTCACCCTCTCCCTTTTTCAGCTTCTTTTTATGTGTTGTCTTTCCCCGTTAGATGGTGAGCTCCTTGAGGGCAGGGAATATCTTTGGTTTTTCTTTGTGTTCTTAGTGCTTAACACAGAGCCTAGCATATAGTGGACACTTAATATATGCTTCTTGACTCATTTATTGTCTTACTCTTTTATAGATGAGGAAACTGTCTTGAAGAGGTTAAGTGACTTGCCCAAGGCCTCATAGCTAGATGAAGTCTGAGGTGAGATTTAAAACCAAGTCTTCCTGACTCCAAAGCCAGCAGTCAGTGGCATGAATATTACTTTGGGGGATCATATCCACATACCTAGGATACCCATTTACTGCACAACTCGGTACTCTTCTTCCATGCACAGTGGTCCCAAGGTCCTGGTGGAAATAATACAAGATTTGGAATCAGAGGACAAAAAATAAGCTCCAATTGAGAGGGATGGAACACTACGAGGCACTTCAAAAAATCTGTAAGAGAAACTGTGTGATGCATTGAAAAGAGGATTGGCCTTGAAGTCAGAAACACCTGGTTCATGAAATCAAAGACTTAGAGTTAGAAGGGACCTTAGCGGTGGACTCAAAGTCAATGTTGTCTTCAAGTCCTTCATTTGATCCATAATAACTGTGTGACCATGGACAAGTCACATAGCTTCTGAGGTAACAATGAGAAGATGAAAACCAAATGGGTTTCCAATAGACATCAATGGAAGAAGTTTCCGCATTCCATATACTAATCCATTCACAAGTCTGGTTAAGCAACAATAACAACAACAACAACAACAAATCATTCTAAACCTTCTAAACCTTCTAAAACTATCCACTGACAGATAGTACTGAGTTCTTGACCAGATAAGGTCCAAATAAAACTTTTTCAGGAGTGGTTTTCTTTTAGTCAACAGATTATCTTTTTATCTGGATTTCATTATACTATGAAAAGAGTGGTACTCTCACAGTACATTGTACTATGAAGAGACTCCTCCTCTTCCAGGCATTTATATTTGATTCTTGTTCTACTACCTAGAAATAGGTGTCCCTTTCTCTCTCTTAAAGGTACACTTTTCTCTTTTAAAGACCCAGCTTTTATCCTTACTGGGTCGTTGTTATTAAACCCAAACTCAACACAGAAGAAAATGTTTCTACCCTTCCCCTATACAAATACAATTTTAAATAGCATACTCATTTCTTAAAAATAAAGCCACAGGACCAAGAGTTTCTCTAACCAGACATTTGGATGAAAGCTTACTAAGCTCTGCCTCATCTGCCTGATTAGTTCCCCCTGACATTTTATAACAGCATAACTATACATTGAACAGCTATAGTAGCTTAGTGAAGCCACCTATTACTAAAATGTGAACAATCAGCATCTTTGCTTAGAATGTTGTGTTCTGTATTGTTTTTCCCCCATCTCTATGATACACACCCATTAGAATGTGAGCTCTCATAGGGTAGGGACTGTCTTGCTTTTCTATTTATATCTTTAACACTTAGCACAGTGATTTGTACATAGTGCTTAATAAATGCTCTTTCATTTATTCATTTATAGAATGAAACACAAAGAAGAAAAGGAAAAAAAATTTTTAGGAGGGAAGCTGGATCATCCCCATTATCTTCTTAGTGTTACTGCATAGCTTAGTTTAAAAATTCAAATGATTAGCTCTTTTGGTAGGCTATTCAATAATCCATTCAGAGCCAATGCATGGGAAATTTTATAAGAAATCTTTGAGGTGTCTAATTTTTCTCAGTCATCAAGATTTTGACCTGGAAGATTGCATAGCCAAGTGATAAGAAGTCCCAAAAAAGCAGTGGGTGAACCAGCCAAGGTTAAAGGAGAAAGGGGTAATAGAAGTCTTCCATAGAGCAATTTAACTACAGATTTCGAAAAGTATCCTCTAAAGTTTCAGTTTGGCTCTAAAGCCTCCCTCCCCTCCCCCAAAGGCTGGAAGGCAGAATTGTTTTATAAACTGGCATTAATTGGCCATTTGAAAAGAACTTTTTTACTTTAATGTTGCTTCATGGTGATGTCCAACACATTCTCGTAGCTGTGCTCATTTTAGAATAGCACTGGACCAGGAGAATGGGGTTCAAATCCTGTGTGTTTCATCTACAAATTGGGTGACCATGGGCAAGTCATTAAACCCACCTGTGCTTCAGTGTGATCATCATGAATGAAGGAGTGAGTGAATTAAAAAGAATAGGTTAAACATTTACCATATACAAAATGCTGTGCTTAGCATTAGTGATACAAATAAAAAACCAAGATAGTCCTTGATCTCTGGGAGCTCACATTCTAATAGGTGGAGTGTTCATTCAGCTGCAAGGTAAATAAAAAGTTCCACCACTTTAGGGTGCAGTAGCAAAGTAGATAGTAATGCATTTTCTTTATTGTCATTTCCACAGATAAACTTTATCCATAAAGTGGGAATGAAGTAGCTATCTCACAGTGTTGTCAGGAGTCACTTTGCAGATTCATTCTAAGAACAATGACTTGTAAACTGTCAATGTGAGTTGTTATTATTAGACTGGGGAGTCACACAGGACATCTGGAAGGCACCTTAGCAATCTGGAAATTAGGATCCCAGGATCAGAGATCCAGAGCTGGAAAGGATTTCAAAGGTCATCCTGCTCAACTCCCTCATTTTACAGTAGAAGAAAGTAATGGATTTTTGTAAGCTTATGGAAATCACAGACTACTATAGTAGTAGCTTGCAGTGATTTGGGTTAAACTTGATCTATTTTTAATATTGGCAGTTAGGGCAGGTATTTATGATCCCTCATGCTAAAGATGTTATAAATTCTAATTAAGCCATCCCTCCTAGTGACAAGGGAGTATTTGATTTCTACCCCTAAGAGATAACATGGGTTGCACAATGTTGATATTGCCTAATAAATTATCCAACAAATAAATTAGGACTGTAGCAAAAAAGCCCCCCAAAAACCCAAAAACCTTAACAGAGAAACTGTAAACATGTTGTTCTCCCATTTTCTTTAAAGATGCTCAATGAGAAAGAAATATGCCAGTTTATATTATTACCATACAAGCATAAAATAGTAGTGAGAATAAAAAAATACATTTTTTCCTAACTAAAAATAAACAATTTAAAGCTGTAAAACCCCTACAGTAGTCAAGTCTTTTTATAGCCAATAATCACAAAATTAAAATATTCAGTGTTAAGGAGATCAGTGCTTTAAAGCTGTTTAAACTATTTCCTCAAGGGTCTCAAAGTCTTTTATGAATGCTAAATAAGACCCCTTATATACTCTTGAGGTTTTGAAGATACTATTCTCACTTTACAGAAAAGGAGACCTTCCACTTACCACAAGGAATTAGCACATTCCTGATGTAAAAGCCTACCAGAGACTGACTAGCTTGGGAATGGACATTATGGGCTTGACTCCCAAGTCTCTCTGCGATCTATTAGACTCTGCATATAAATTGAGCTGCTGGTGGGCTTTCGCAGCTTCTGGTGGGGATACACTGGTTTTAGAACAGGTTGTGCTGAGGTAATTTGATACACATCCTCTATAATGTTTATGCTGGGGGTATCTCTAAGCATGGAAACCCTGCAGGCTATAGATTGGCAATGTGCCAGAAGCCTAGAGGCAACAACTAATTTACACACATTTGCATAATTCCAGGATCAAAAATAAAGGTGCACAACCACAACATTTACTGTGCTTGAATCATCTACTAGAGATGTTGAGGAATTACTTCTTGGCTGATTTTTGCCAAGAATGGAACCCTGAAGTTGATCAACTTTAGTGAGCTTTACATGTGCAAGGAATTTTTTAATGACATGTAAGTAGTGGAAAACTTTTTTTTTCTTATTTGGTGTCAAGAGAAGTGTGGGTGAATCTTGGCTCAGCTACTTTCTACCTCTAAGATCTTGGGCAAGTCATTTAACCTCTGTAGGCCTCGGTTTCTTCTTCTGTAAAATGAGGATATTGGGCTAAATGACCTCAGAGTCCCTTCCAGTTTTAAGTCTTTGGTCCTATGAGCCTATGAATGGTATAGTATGACATATAGTAGAGACAGATTGTGGCAGTCAAGGGGGTAAATGAAAAGGTGTTCCTAAGAATGGGGAAGGTAAATACAAAAGAGATTAGGGAAATACCCTATGAAGGGGAGCAGTGATTAATGGTGAAATTATAATTTGTGTTAAGCAACTTCTGCACACTTAGACCAGTGTACTTTCTACCCATGATGTCTGACTTTTGCTCTACCATGTTGGGTGGGCATCACAATGGATCTACTCATACTCTTTTCTTCTAAGGACAACATATTGGTAACTATAATAATGAATCCTTATTATACCCCAGAACTAATTCTATAGTAATCAAATCCCTGCCCTTCTCCCAAATCTGAATTAAAAAAAAATATCACACACTTCTTGATCATGACTAGGCATAAATTTCCTTTCTCTTAAATGCCATCTCTATTTATTTTGCACAAATCAACAAAACTGTCGCAAGTTAAGTTTTTTAAGCCTGGTTCCTTTTTTTTGGCTGGATCTTATGATTCTTAAACAGTTCACTGACACAACTCTATACAGCAATAGACACACAATAGCTCCCCTAAGCAATCATTTGTGAGTAATTTCCTTTCCATGTTATTTAAAACCCAAATTATTATCATATTCAATTTGGCTAAAAAAGAGCACAGCAATCATGCTGTGAAAGGACAACTAAACAAACACCAGAGAGGTAACTAGTTGCTCTGTGTCTGCCAGTCACAGGGAAGAGGTTAGAGAAATTCATCTAAGTCTGGGATCAATTTCTTGACGATGATAGATGAGGAGTAAGGTACTGAACAGATGGAAAAGAGAATAACTAAAGAAAACTAAGCACCTGATCCCGATTACACACACATACAGGTGTTGATAGACATTTGCAAACCTTCCATTAGATATAGGCAACATGATCATTCTGGAATAAATTGAGGGGAGTTCCTAAGGCTCAAGAAGGAGAAAAACATGAGTTTCGGATTTGCAATGGGAAAATGAAGAAAATGGGACAACTATTGCTTGGTAAAAACACTTGGAATAGAAAACGTATCTCAATTTTCATATATTTTGCATAGCAGTTGGCATCCTATGAGCTTTTAATAAACATCTCATAATTTAGGAAGAGGCATGTATGGGATAGAACAAATTTGAGATATTTCTCCCCCTGCCCCCATAGAATCTATAATCCTTTTGTGTACATACAGGACAGTAATGGAAAGAGACTAGACTTGTGATCATACAACCAAACACTGATACTATTCAGTAGTTGAAGAAATAGCAGGAAAGTAAGACAAAGCATAGAAAAAAGAATGGTATTAGGTCGAATAAGTGCTTTAAATGGAGCAAGGAAAGTATCTGAGCCTATTCAGTATGACT